GGGTGCTTTTTTATTCTGTTTGTCTGCTGCAGAATAATTATAATGGCTTACCCCGAATATAGTCTTATACTCTTCCAGTAAAGTTATGACAATAGCTTGAGCATGATTAGCTGCAGCAGCTGCTTGCAGCAGTTGCATAGAACCATCACCCCCCACATCAAAATCATTCTCAATCTCACAGTCGCCATGCAGAAGAGGTCGAAGGAGTAAGGGTGCCATGCAAGCTGCCACAGCTGAAGGGCTCATTCGATTCTCATCCATGTGAGAAGCCACAGTTTGCATCATCATTAGGATTCTGATATAAAAGGAAGAAACAAAATTAAAAGTCACAGAATGTGACTAGAAACTGGGAAAGAAAATCTCAAATAAGAACGACAGTAATGTATTAAAAACCTTTGTAATAAGCGACGATTTGGTTCAGGGAATGTTTCACATATTGCTCCTCTCATAGCATTGACTCTATTAGCACGATCTGTTCCTAATTATTGTATGATGTCCAGCAACAAAAAATAATAAAAGGAAAGCTTTAAAAATAAAACAACCAGAAATATCAAACAAATCTAATGTCGCAAAAAAAGAGCTCAACAACATTCAATTGGGTAAATACAGGAGTTTCACTTGATGGATGCTTAAACAGCAACTCAAAAGTTTCAATTTCCGGAAAAGGAAAACATAGGTTTGAACATATATTAACACCAAAATGCAGTACTAAACTCTTCTGTGGTTCACCTGTAAGTATTTTGCCATCCTTAATTAAAGAAAATTCAAGAAAAATTCTCAACTACTTGATCCTACTAAAAGCTTCAAATCAAGAAAGTCATGCTAGGGGCCATGATATTACCCAATTACTAATGTAGACTGCATTAACATTTTGATCTGTTTCCAATTATCAGCTAAAACATAGCACCATGTGGTTCGTAACTTTTACTAAACCAGATAATTTTTTTTTTTAAGAAAAAAAAGGGGGGCAAAAGTAGCATATTTAATGCCCAAGAAATTCATCAAACATGTATTTTGAATTGGAATTGACTTAGTTGAGAATACACTTATGACAAGGCAAGGCCAGGTCTTGATTGACTGACTTTTAAAGATCCAAGACAACTTTTAAGGCCTAGACATAACAAGCCCACACATATGCCCTTGTAATCATAAAATCAAGCAGACATTTTGGTGCTTTACCACAAATCATAATCACATGCACTCATGTTCCTCTTATTTAATTAAAGGTGATAAGGTCAAATTAAGCCATTTTGTACTCAAGAAGCCCTCAGCAAGCTCAAAATGGACAAATACAATCAAAGTAACACTTCCATAATAGACTTACGACATGCTTCTAGGAGTGCTTTGCAACATGATGCTGGGACTGGAGATGATGGCAGCTCTCGGAGGACATACTGGAGAATTGAATGAAGGACATTGATTAAGAAAAGTTCTGAGAGTATGCTGTAACTTAAATTACAGAATCTAGTAGTAACTAGCAGGAAATACCTTGACACAATCAGCAATGACATGGGCATCCTCCTCTGGGGAAAATTCGGTTTTTCCTGCATCAAAAAGGTTAGAACAAGAAGCTATGAGAACAGAAGGTAATCTTGCAGCTTTTTGCAAGGACCACAACTTGAACATAAATTCAGAATTTATTTCCAAAGCTTTGATGGTAGTTTTTCTAACTCAAAGTCAAATCCTGAAATTGTGAGATGAAACTTTTAGTAAAGGCCATAAAAAAAGGAGCCGTCTGCAACTATATGAACAATGGTAAGTACACAAAATCTTTGAACAGACCTTGCTCATACTCCCGAATCCGTTGTTCCACATCATCAACATCTGCAGCTTGTCTCAAGATTCCCTCTACCTTGATTCCTGTCAAATGGTTTTTTGAACTAAGCAGATATGACCCAAATTACATGAATAAAAACAGTTCAACCAACATTTTGAAATTATTGAAAGGACAATACCATCTGCACATTTTTAATGTCACTTAAAGAGAACTGTGAGGAGAAATACTTGAACCAACTATGAACAAAATTGGTCCAACTTAGATTGTAGAGGGACAGGAAAAGAATCAGAAATGTGGTGACTCTACAGATTGTACTAGAGCAAGAAGTATACGCATTCTAAAGTCATCAAGTTCACTAAATAAGTGTCCACCTATCCAACTGAAATGAGATTCCAGAAAGGAAAATGAAAAACCCACCGTAGTCTTCAACAAACCGGAGAGCCTTTTCCAAAAAGGTTGGACCTCCATCAACATCTTGGAGAGCAAGTAAAATTGGTGTCCCTCTGACTGTAAATCTTGTAGCTGGTTTATCCTTTGCTACAAAAGAAAAATAGAAAAATGAGAAAACATAAAAGCTTATCAAACAAGCTCAAAAAACCATAAGATAACTATATCCAGAGTCCTACTCCAAGAAATCACCTTCACAGGTTCTCATACTTCATTAATGATTCATGATAACTAGAATAAAGTAAACATGCAAAAGGAGAAGAAACAAGATTGTAGGAAGGCAAAAGAAATGAGAAAATGAGATCTGACACCTATACCCAAGACTAAGACTACTGACTACTAAGTGTCGTGTTCAACTAATGCCAGGAAATTTGTAGTGGGTAGGGATCCCTGTTTGCTCGTTACACACCTGTTGTCCCAAAGATTATTCTTGCTAAAAAAGGTGAAAAACTTGTATTATCCTCAATTAAACTTAATTTCTTGACAAATCAATGCAAATATTTCCTCTTTGTTGCCTTTTGAAATTGAGCTGGAAAGCAGAGCATTATGCAACATAAAAACAATATATAGGTGAGAGAAATTGCATGATAGATGCTAGAATGTGTATGAAAACTTAACAGTTTCTTATGCAAAAGATCATCAAATAGATTAAAACATGACCAAGACTTACACAGTTCCTTAGAACCATCAAATGCATCCACTTGATCATTCCTGAAGATGCCGTTTTGTCCCGTCACATGAGCAGGATTTGGTGCTTGCGCCAAAGCAGTCTCAAGTGCTGTCTTCCACTCATACAAATCCTCTGAAGTTTCTGCCTGCAAGAACAATATCAACTTCGACATAGCTCCCAACTACTCCAAATCTAAAGTTAATGAAAAGCAACTAAGAACACAGATGAAAAATGATCCTAAGATTGAGTGAAAATATATGTATAGGGTGGGGTGAGGGTAAGAAGCACCTTGAGTGTGAAGGCCCGCCCATCACGACCTTCCCCTAGTAGTACTGTCAAGAGTTTTTTGTCGGCTTTGACAACAACGCTAGAATTGTAAGGCATTATTAGTTAGTAGCCTGTTTCATTTTAATAATAAGAACGGAGAGAAATGACAGATGTCTATTTCAGGAAAACAAGCCAACCTGCCTGAATTGTTGAGGTCAATGCCACCAAGAGTCAAATTCACTTCACCTGCCTTTTGAGGAGCAGCACTCTGAAAAGTATAAGAACAGTATGTAATCTTCTAAAACATAACAGTTCAACTACCACAAACACACACACACATGCAGAGGCAATGAGAGGTGAGAGTGAAGGCTGAGAAGGTGTCTTGAACAGCTGGCACTACAAAAACATAACCTCTATCAAGTTTTTCCACTTCTCCCTCAAGTTCTAAATACTTAAGTTGTTCCCGATAGCTACTTTCAAGTGTTCCCGATAGCTACTTTCAAGTGTTCCCAATAGCTACTTTCAAGTGTTCCCATAACCCCAATCTAGCAAATTGTTAAACCACTATACAAAAACATGCACCAGCACTAGGATACACTATCAACCAGAAAGCAAGTAGCCAAACACTTACAGGGTCGCTTCTAAAGAAAACAAGCGATGTTTGTGTTAAAATAAACCATCTTTTCTTCCATGATGTCCATCCAATTCCTGCATTCCGGTCAATAAAAAAATCGGTAGAAGAATAATAAAAACTCGGAGGCACCCATAATAACCACAGAGACACAAAGTATTGCTGTTAGTAAACCTTATTATAGATACATTGTAACAGAGCTTATGTGGTGGTATAATCATTTACAAGGATAAAAATAAAATGAAAGGCATGGCCAAAGAAAAATTAGTAAACGAAACTTAAGCAATACGCACACTGCAACTTGACCAAAGAAAGTGAAACACACACCTTTGGATGAAATGAAAAGTGGCCCGCTCTTGAAAACCTGCAAGGAAATTCTAAACATGAGAATTCAAAATTTCTACTCCTTTTTTATGGAATACACCGTATGAAAGGAGAGTCCCTATTAGGAATAATCCAATTGGCATTAATGTAAATACGATTATTCTGATTATTTTTTTTTTTTTAATAAAAAGGAGACTATAAGAGACGATCTTGTCACAAATCTGTAATCTGTTACGAATTCCATGATCATAACCGGAGGCGAGGGAGATGGAAAACCACTGACCTTGTTGCCACCGCGAGAACGCTGTTGATCAGGCGGAGCAGGTTCGGGACCAGGTGGCGGAGGAGAATGAGGATCTGCAGCCTCTCCCTGCAGCCCCAAAAAATTAAAAAAAGCAGCGAAATGATTCTCAACACAGAATCTTCTTAAAAATCACAATGTCGTTCATCTAATTAGCAGCCGTTCCGAATGCAATTGAAACCAGACTTTTTTCCTACCTGTTGTACCAGAGACGGTTCTTCCTTTTTGGTAGCCATACTCTGATCCCAATATCACATCCCAAACGATCACCGATCAACAACGAACAGCCTCTGCACCACCTTCCGCCTCAATCTATCTCCAAAATCCCACCCAAACATAAACACATTCGAACAAAAGCCTTCCTCTCGAATTCAAATCAAATCAACACCAAAAAACTTAAAAATAAAAAATACAGGCACATTGAAATTGAACAAACCTTAGGGGAGAAAGAACAATGAATTGAAAATTAAAAAAGAAAATGAAATGTAGCGGTGAAACGGAGAGATTTTGGTTTCATTTTTGCTTCCTGTTTCGTTCTTTCTGTGCTTTCCTGAGAAAAAAAAAAATTTTTTTTTCTTTCTTTTCCTCAACGGAAACCCGTTGGTGAAGTTGAAGAAATGCCCAAAATAGAGCGGGGCATGCTGCGGGCTATACACGTTCTCACCCGCATTCGTAGCTTAATTTCCCAGCCCCCCACCCCCCCTCCCCGCGGGCGGAATTATTTTCATTTGGAGGGAAAGGCTTGTCGCAATGGCACTTCGGGTAATCTACTAATCTCCGTTTTATTTTTTATTTTTTTGGTCTTGACTGATGGGTCCTGTCCGAGATGTTTTTACACGTGGCAGAGGATTAGATGTCCGAGGTCAACAGCGGTCAAGAAATTATCGTAGATGAGGTTCTGCTTTGATTTTTGTACGGGGTCCGTCTTCTTGGTGGGACCATGTGGAATTTGATTGCAGCAAAAGGTACGCTAATAGGATCCGAAATTTTAGGGAGGAAAGGATGGTTAAACTACCTTTTTGTCTCCCATGGAAGGAAAATGATTTTAGTGGTAATTTTTTTCATATTATTTTTTATATAATTTTATATATTATTTAAATAATTAATTTTTTTATATAAGTCTTATAATATTAATTTTATTAATTCATTTAATAATATATAAAAATTATATAAAATATATATAATAATAAATGAGATGAAAAGTCAAAATCTAAATTTAAAATTAATATGAAAAGTCAAAATCTAAATTTAAAATTAATGATGTAATATAAGTCACGTTATTCATCTTAAATTTTCATCTAATGTTTTCATCTTCTTTACGTTACTCATAAGATAATTATCTTTACATCACTATCTCCAATCAAAAGGCTTGTTTAGCATGAGCATAATTTTAATAAGAAAATTTTTACTAAATAGTTTGAAAATGCAATTTAGAAAATGTTTATAAGTTTTGTATTGGTAGGGAACTAAATGAAAAGTTAATTTTTTATTTTTTTTTATTTTTTGTTTTGGGGTGAATAATTTATCTTTAATTGGATCAAAAATAGATTAATCTCGAAATATGCATAAATTAGACCAAGAACACCTTATCACTAAATAAAAAAAAATTGTATTAAAATTTTGTTTATGTTGTTAATTTTTTGTGTTTAATAAAAAAATAATATTGTGAAAATTAGGTGAAAATAGTCAAATAAGTTCCACATGGAAAAAATGAAGGGAACTTCTTTCTTTTGAAAAAATAGGAGCAAAAGTATATTTTTAGAGAATTGTTTTTAAAAAAAAATTACTAAAAATATTAATTATATTCTTATTTTTTTATAATATTAATATGTAAAACAATGTTGTTAGAAGAAAAAGATAAGGCAACGTGTTGGCCTAAAAAATATTGAAGTGAGAAGCAAAGCGATCGCTTCTTTGAAGTAAAGTAAAGTGAATAACACTTTAAAGTAATCAATTATTAAATAGAATAAAGCTAAATATAATAGAAACTTAAGAGTTTTAAGAAAGAAAAAGTAAAATAGGGTGCAAGTAATAGATTTAAATTAAATTTCACTTTACTTAGTGCAAGTAGAGTTAAATTTTGTTTTAAAATTAAAATTCATGAGTTTTATAAAGTGAAAAACTGATTATTTCAATCTATACCATACAGATGATATTAAGTTTCTTAATCAAGGTCCCTTAGACCATATAAATCTAAATACTATAAGTTTACTAACAAGAAATATAACTAAAATATAAAAGAGAGATAAAGAGGAAATGCATAGAATTAAGACAATATTAAAAAATTCTATTAATATTTGCATGAAACTTTATCTTAACTAAATTAAGATAATTTGTTGATAAAAAGAAAGAAAGAAAGAAAGAAGAGAATATGTCATAAAGTTAGGGAAGAGGACGAAGTCAAGGAAGAAGAAGAGATGGGAAGGAGAATATGCAAATTAAAAAAAAAAAAAAAAAGAAGGAAAGGAAACAAGAAAGGACTTTCCTATAAATGACAAATGAATTAATGAAGTCAAGACTTAGGAAGATGATGAAGTCAAAAGACAATGGAATCACAAAGAAAATTAGGGGAAGAGGTAGTCGGTAGGCACAAAGCTTCCTGTTTTTGCCCTAATTGAAGTCAAAATTTCAATTTAAACCCTTAATGCTTCAATACTTTTTTGTCATTTTGTATCATTTTAAAGAAGTGATCGCTTCAACATTAGAGTGCTTTTATTGCTTCACTTCTCCTCGATCGCTTTGGGACCACCTCTTTTAAGTAGAGCACTTTATAAATTTTAAAGCGGTAGTGCCTCTGATTGCTTTGTTTTACCGCTTTTAGTAGTGAAGCAACTGTTTTTAACAACACTTATGTAAAACATCAAATTAACCCTACAAAATGTGAATAAAAGAAAGAGTAAGGGGAAAGTTTCCCCCATTACAAACACGGCTGTTCTGCACCGATTTAAGACCTCAACTCACTTTTTCGCTTTTCTTAATTCCACAACTCTAGAATTTTGCAATAAAAGGATTGAAAAAAAATAGAACATTTTGGTAATTAAAATATTAAAATTAATAATAATAAATTGAAATATATTTAATTATTTTTTATATACTTCATAAAAAATATCCAAATAAGTTCACAAAAATTTTTAATTTTACTTGTGGAGTATAAAAACTTCTAAGACAGTACGGTACTTTGACTAAAAAACGGGCTGTTTATGATCCAAACTCATCAGATTATGCAACAATTCCAAGTAGTGGATTGTGCCGGCCTAGGCCCAAACTAATAATCCATTAGTGTATTAGATGGATTTAGATTTTAGATAATAATTGGATAATATTTACAGCCCAACTCATAATTGGACAAGTATACTTACATTACAGGCTACAGCCCAACTCACACGTTTTCAAATTCCAGTTCCTTGTTTGATCCTCATTTAAATACTTCGGTTTCCTTTTCTAATGGAAAGATTCTAATTAAGTGCACGCGTTTGATAATTAATAACGTAAACTCTAATATACTTGATTCTGGCCCACAAGACGCCATGCTACCGACTCATCATGAGAAGAGAAGCAACAATTCCATCTTCCTAGTTTGAATAAAGTACAAACTTTGACCAATCACCTATGGATGGGAGTGGAAGGTAAATAGCTTTTTTTGAAATAAGATTTTGAATTTAAGTATTGTGAATAAAAATATAAATATTGAGAGTACTTTCCTCTTAATAAAATTTGATATAGTTCAATTTTGAATTAATCAAAATATAATATAATTATCAGATACTAAAAAATTAATATCAAAAAAATAAACTACAAACTTTGTACCCTACAACTTCAATTTTGCTCTTGAATGATAAATAGTTACCCAAAATATTATCTCTTTCATTCATCTTTGGTGCTATGCTATCTACTCTAGAAATAGACGCCATATCATCTAATCTGGTTTGTCCCCCGTCCGTGATTGGTTTGGCTATTTTAAATAGGGCTAACTAATAAGAAATGTCTAATAATTAATATTTATTGTTAGATATGATTTAAATATTATTAATTATTGAGAAGCTGTGAGTAAAGTAATTGGCCGCTCCTCACATGGTACTTCTCATTGGATTCGAGTTCGAGTCCTTCCCATTTCCCCACAACGTAACTCTTTTT